CTACCTGAAATCACGCTCCACGGAGCAACCTTCTCAAGTGTGTGTGTTTGCATGACATGGCATGGCCTAGTCTTTGCATCCCTCTAGAGCCAAAAACCAAACATCTACACCTTCTTCAGGGTCAACTACCTAGGTTTCCTATACCTTCTACAGGTTCCCAGGGGTCGTAGTCAAACCAACACCCCTACACAATCCCTAGACCATACCAACTCCACCAAATTCCACCACCAATCCCTTCCAGAACCCCTTTTTTCCTACAAACCAAATGGCATGTCAGCTATGTACAAGCCTTCTTCAGGCTCTTCCCTACTGGCTGGTGCAAGCCTTCTTCAGGCTCTTGCTTGCTGCTTTGCTTCACTTGCTGGGCATGATATTGTTCTTGAAACCAACCAAGTCTGCCTTCTCCAGGCTTTGTCCTTCTTTTGCTTTTTGCCAGAGGGCATCCATGACCTCATCCCTGGTAGCAGATTTGCACATTTCAACATTCACCAGGCACATGGGTTTCTAGCCTTCTTCAGGCTTGTATTGAATGTAGGCCTTTTTGTTGGCCCTGGTTTGCTTGACCAATCCAAAGCTGGCAGATGGTTGCCATCCACTCTGGTGGCCTGCTTGGCAGCCTTCTGCAGGCTTTGCCCTGGGAGCCTTGCTCTGCTTTGCAGGCTTTTTCTGGCTTGCAGCAGGCTTTCTCATGGATGGCTTCTTGTATACAGAGCCTTCTGCAGGCTTCTGCAAGCTCTTCTGGTGCCACCAATGATTCTTGGGTGCATTGGACTGTGCTTGCAATTTCCACCACTTCGGTTTCATCTCTTGATTCCCCTTCCTCCTCTACAGGCTGGGCAAGAACCAGAGCTGGTCTCTTGAGGGTTTTCGCCTTGTCAGCCTCAGGTGCCTGGCTGCCTTCTGCAGGCTTGCTGCCTTCTGCAGGCTTGGTACCCTCTGCCTTCTCTTCCCAGCTAAGAGCTCTCATCAGCCTTTGCAAAACTGGGTCAGTCTTTTCACCAGTCTTCATGTTTCGCCTTTTCCTCCCAAGGAAGGATCTGATATCAAAAATTGCATTTGCAATTGTTTTTCTTTCAGCCTCAGAGGCTCTGGGCTGTGCTTCTTTGATGGCCTGCCTTGTCATGGGCTTTGACAAGGCAGGCCTTTGAAACCACACTTCAAGGAAGTGGGCTTGCCTTCTGCAGGCTTCTTCATGGTCTGCAGGCCATGCCCCTGCATCCAGAGCAAGAGGGAAGCCTTTCAAAATTGCAGCAGCTTGCTTCACATTGCCTTCTTCAGGCTTACAAGGCAGAGTGCCAGACATGCTGGTGGTTGGGTGAAACAAACAAAACTCAAAAATACACCTAGAAGTCTGAGCCAAAATGGTTGAAGCACTCCATACCAATTGGTGGGTAGAGCCCTGGAAGCTCCAAAACAAAGCTTCCAATGCAAACCCTGGAAGCTTCAAAACAAAGCTTCCCAGAAGTGCTTCTTGGATGGGTTATGTTGAAAAATCCAAGAAGTGCTTCTTGAAGCCAGAAGCTCTGAAACAGCACTGGCAGCTCAGTTTGGGAAGCTCTGTTTTGGAGCTGCCAGCTCTGAAACAGAGCTGCCAGCTTTGTTTTGAGACTTCCAGGATGAGCTTCTAGACCCTCAGAAGCCTGAAACAAAGCTGCCAGCTCTGTTTCAGCTCTTCTCGGATCTTAAGGGTATATTGATGAGACTCTACGTTCTCGAAAACATCGCTTTCAAAGTGGCAGTGACTAGCCCATTGAATCGACCTCTTGGTATGCTCGAAGAACGAGATGACCGTCTCCCTCCAAACCAGAGGTACGAAGAGCTACTTCGCAACCTGGCCGACGTTCGCCACAAAAGGGCAGTCGCCGCAGCCGAGCTCGTCGCTCGCGCCCTTACCAAGAAGGACGTTGCTGCAGAACAACCGAACAGGGCTGCACCGATTACCGAGGCGGACATGGCCGTCATCGACGACGAGCCCGAAGGCGATCAAGATGATCCAGACCTTTCGGAGATTTTCGTTGCAAATGACGCCACGCCGCGACACCTATGAGGGTCGGCTCCAGACACTTGAGGAACTCAGCCATCGTGTTGAAACCGGCGAGAATCCGGCGGCATGGCTTGATGTCGACGCCGACGATGATGAGGAGGTGTGGCCAAATGATGAGCGAGCACATGAAGAACCTGAAGATGAAGAAGCTCCTCATGGCGAAGAAGGCTCGGCCGCCGTCACTGGTGAGCCCGAGCCTGAAGCACCCTCATCTCCACCGGCTGCCGAAGAGGGCCATTTTGTGCGTGTCCAATATCTTGAGGACCAATATCCCGAGTATGAGTACCGCATGGCCGAGATCGATGGCGCCTTCCAGCAAGTGGTTCAGCTTGGCAACAAGCAAATTCCGCTCCACTTTGCGAGCGGCTGGGAGCTCAATGGCGGGCACCTTTTCTTCGCGAAACCTCTCAAGGATTGGCTCACCCAGCTATCAAAGGTCGTCCGCCAACACGACCAATTTCTGGGACTTGAGGTCGACGAAGATGGCTACGCAGACTTGGATGAAGTAGCAAGGTGTTTTGGCCTGAATCACCGCAGTGCCCCGCCGCTCACAGTGAAAGACTTGATTGCCATAGCAGCGAAAGACAATAAAAATAGATTCGAGTTTTTGGGCATTCGAGAAGGGCACAAGCTCGAAGAGAAGGGCGTGGCACTATGGCCTCTGAAGATGCGCGCCGCTGCTGGACAAAGCAAGCACGCGATCAAGAGCGCACAGGACAACTACAGATCAGCGGCTCTGATGTACTGTAGTCCTTCGCTCCGGCCAGAAGCCAAAGCTCCCTTCACCGGGAAGCCCATCGCCAACATGGACGAGATCCCTGCGCTCGCTTTCCATCGCACCAGGCCTGCATGCTGGAAGCGGATTGTCAAGGAGGGCCTCATCCCAGGCGGTGGGGAATTTGTTGGCAGTGATCGTGCACATGTCTATTTGGCTGCAAGCCGCATCACGGACACCGACTATCAAAGCGGTCTCCGCGGCAAGCATCCCATTCAGATCACGATCGCATTGAAGGAAGCAGTGGACAGCGGCTTGATCTTTTTCAAAAACCGCAGCGGCGGCATCATGACAATAGATGTTGTTCCTCCCGAGTTCATCATCTCTGTCGAGAACACTGAGAGCAAGTCCACTTTGTGGACGAGGGTCAGTGCCTCAGGTCTTGCCGAAGAAGCCCCTGCAGTGTCTGGAGAAGGAAGCCGGGCCGCCGTCACTGGCGAGCCCCAGCCAGCCGCAAAGGCAATGCCTGTATCGCTCACGGCAACCAGCAAGTCGGCACCAGCAAGCAAGGCTGCGCCATCTACCCCGCCGACGAGTGCAAGTCACTGTCGTGCCCTGCACCAGCCCTCGTGCACTTTCCGCGTCCAGCTTCGGTAGCAAAGCTGCCTTAGCTGAGGGGGTGTATTTTCACTCCATGTAATATGTACACTTTTACCATGCACATATGTATAGGATGTCATTGCACTTACTTCTGCAGCTCGCGGTCCAAAAGGGTATCGTAGCTTAACGGCTGCTTCTATAAAAGGCAAGAAAGGTTCAAAGGAAGAATTAAAGAAAGAACAATTGTAGTTTTGATGGGGACTTTGTCATTTGGCCACCAAAGGTGGCTGACCGATTGGCGTGCAAACATAGACGGCGTGTACAGCAGGGAAGGTCAAGATGGGAATCAATAAGCGGATGCCTAAAGCGATCAACGGAAAGCCTGATCGAGAAAAGCAGAAAGTTGGTCTTAGAAAGGGGTGATTAAGATTAACAGCTCTAGGCTTATGTCGGGCGCGCCAGCCGTAGATACAAGGAACCAAAATAAATGTATAAAGCACAAAAAGCAACCGGTAAAGCAAAAAAACAAAAAATGTAGCTGTGCGTGTTTGTCGTTTTTTTCACTGTGTTTTCACATTTTTTAACTTTTTCCCTAGGAGCGTACAGCAAATATTGCTGTCGGGTAAAAGTTCTCACAAGTGCAGAAGTGGTACCAGGGAAAAAAGGAAAAAACAAAACACATGCAACAACAAAGCAAATTGCGCTGTTTTTGCATTTTCATTTGCTTTTGTTTTTTCGCATTTTTTCGCAAAAAGAACGTTGTTTGATGATTGGTCATGTATGGCTGCCATTGCCCAACATAACTCTGGGCTCTAGCTGCTAGCTAAAAGAACGTCTATATATAAACAATTTCCCGCAACCGGTCATGTAGAAAACTATTCGGTTCCTCTATTTTGTGCCTTGTTTTTGCTACATGTGTTCAAGAAACCTAGATTTCCTACTTGTTAACTTCTTCAGATATCTAGGAACCCTTCCATCAGATGAAGCATTGCGAAGGGTTCGTCAAAGAAGTTCTTGAAGGGCCTGAGCCCTGCCGTTAGAAGAGTCGCTTGCTTTTCACGCTCACGCTCCGCACTTTAGAAGGAAGAAAGGAAATAATGATTTAAAATAGTATTATGAATAGTAATAGTACCAACATAAAGGTAATGAATAAGTGTATATATAATATATAATAGATATAGGTTAAAACAAATGAGAGAGAGAGAGAGTCTTAGGGACATAGATTAAAGTTCTTTTGTTTCTGATTTTTCAGGAGTTTGTCATAGACTTTTTCGATGTGTGTCCCAATCCTTTGGACTCAGCTTCTCAGGTGGGGATAGTGCCGAGTCATCGCTGGGATCTAAAAGAAAGCGTGAGAGAACTTCTTTGACAATTTGAATGAGAGGATTTTTGATTTTTAAGTACAATCCTTTTCTTTTAGGCTCGCGTTTTCTTCGTTCTCTTTTTCCTTCAGGTTTGCTTGTCACCCTTCTCTTTGACTGCACTTTTCGGATATTGACCGACTTGCCAAGGGTGTGCAGCACTGGAGCCGTTTGGTGCACAGTTGTTTGTTATAAACGAAAGGGCCCTTTAAAGGGGCCAGTCCTCAGACTTTAACTTTAAGTCCTTTGGTCCTTTTATTCACTTCTAAGTCCTTTAGTTCTTCTCTTCTTCTTAAGACTTTAAGTCCTAAGACGAACACATGTACGAGCGAGGGCCGCGACTCGCTGAGGAGCCGGGATTTGGTGTGCCACCGCCAAAGACTTTTGAGCCTCCGTGCGCCGGGAGTCGTACCGCGCGCCCTGTGTCTCCGATGTTCGATGTTTGTCTCTTTCATGAGTTCTGTAGGTGTGTTCGATGGCCTCCAACCTAGCAGCGATGGCTTCCAACTTAGTAGGGATGGCCTCCAACTAAGAAGCCATGGCCTCCAACCTAGTAGAGATGGCCTCCAACTTAGAAGCCATGGCCTCCAACCTACTAGCGATGGCCTCCAACTTAGTAGGGATGGCCTCCAACCTACTAGCGATGGCCTCCAACCTAGTAGGGATGGCCTCCAACTTAGAAGCCATGGCCTCCAACCTACTAGCGATGGCCTCCAACTTAGTAGGGGGCCTCCAACCTACTAGCGACGGCCTCCAACCTAGCAGCGATGGCCTCCAACTTAGTAGGGATGGCCTCCAACTAAGAAGCTATGGCCTCCAACCTAGTAGGGATGGCCTCCAACTTAGAAGCCATGGCCTCCAACCTAGTAGGGATGGCCTCCAACTTAGAAGCCATGGCCTCCAACCTACTAGCGATGGCCTCCAACTTAGTAGGTTGGAGGTGCTAGCGATGGCCTCCAACCTAGCAGCGATGGCCTCCAACTTAGTAGGGATGGCCTCCAACTAAGAAGCCATGGCCTCCAACCTAGTAGGGATGGCCTCCAACTTAGAAGCCATGGCCTCCAACCTACTAGCGATGGCCTCCAACTTAGTAGGAAGCCTCCAACCTACTAGCGATGGCTTTTCCTTGCATAAAGGCCCCTCCCTGGCACAGGTGGCGGGAGAGGGGCTGAGTGTCAGAGTCTGAAGACGGCTACAGTGAAAAGACGGCAGAGGGAGAAGGTGACAAGGAGGTCCAAGATGACGACAATCAAGAAGGATCCAAAGAGGCACGAAACGAACGAGCTTTCCGAGTACCCTCCTTCAGGGATTTCTGGAGTTTATGCCAAGCACCAACAGGTGGTTTCCAATGAAATGGGCAAGCCTCAGGCTGTGATGACAAATCAACAGGGGGCCACCAGTTGTAGGCACAAGTTCGAAAATTCTTTTGAAATGCCATTTGAATTACTTTCGCAACCTGATCCTGCTTCGGGAAGGCAGGTCGTGGTTTCAGGCCAAAGACACAGCTTCCTGCACCCTGTCGGTACAGAGCACAGATCCGAGCACGCTTGGCATGGGCTGGCAGGACATCATGTCCACACAAGGAAGCAAATTGACTAAACATGGAAGCGAACTGGGTAGCAATCTCATTCCAAGAATAGTAAAAAGCATGTGCCTCCGTGTCAGACCTGGCCCAAGCGAAACAATGCCCATCAGGAGAAGTCCTCCTGTGGACAGGCAGATAGCAGTGGCTATACATCATGAAACTTAGTACCAATTCCATCCAGGAAACACCCATTTCAGCAGACTCTGGGTGATGACCTGCATTGGGCCATTGGAGCTGGCCCGCCCAATCAAGCAAACAAAGCATCAATGATGTTCCCCAGTAAGAGTGATCAAAGAAATTTTGGGCTCGAATGGCGGTGACATCAAGGGTCCAAGGCGCGTCAACAGACCAATTCGAGCACAGAGCAGAGAAATGGACCGCCTGCCTCATCGGGTGAGGTTCCATGGGATTGAAAGAAGCTGGAACATGTTGTTCATGAAGTTTACGATAACTCTGCAGGGCCAAAGAAAGACGGTAGAATTGCTCGAGTTCTTCCATTTCAAGCTTACGAGTCATGACCTGCTGTCGCCAGGCATCTGTGAGGGGTGGACGGCAGGAATTACAAACCTCGGATGCGGCCTGGTCAGCAACCATGTTACCCAGGGCATGATAACAGAGAAGGTCAGGCAACTCACTTGGCTGAGTATGGGCCTTAATCTTAACCAGCCTATTAGTATGAGCATGAACAATCTGCTGTATGCGGAGACACAGTTCTGGGTGCGGGTGTCTGTGCAAATGCACCCCATGCACTGATGGAGCAGCTAGAAATGTGGCAATAGCACTAGAGGAGTCCACATGAATGACTGCATGGCGAAAGAGTTCATTAGCACGGATAACAGCCCGGAGTTCTGCATGGTGAATGGTTTGGGCCTGCGGGCAAAGCTCCTGAATGATCACATGTAATGTGCTAGGAAGAACACCTGTCTCTTTGAAACGTTGTGCCTGCCAACAGCGTTCTGCATCACAACGACAAGAGTCGACCGCAATGCTAAAACCAGCATATCTTAACGAAGGTAGAGTGGGATGGAGACAACTACCGTCAGTGTACACATGCAGCGGAGAAAGATCAGAGACACACTCCTGCAGGGCCACAATCTGTGAGGAATCAGGTGGTCGTGGCTGGATAGCATATTGGAATGTGAAACGAAATTCGTCCTCAGCTGATTCGAAGATGACTGGCAGTTCAGGCAACAAGGTGTCCTCCAAGGTGAGGGTCTGGACCAACTTCTGGAAAGGCTCGCGAATGTGCTGTGTGGCAGCACAGGCAAAGAACCTATGAAATTTGGTATCCTCGACCACACCATGGACAGTCAGGTGTCACTTGATCATCCCAAATGGCCTGTTGGCTCCTCGTCTGATAGGCCCCAGCAATTTCACGCACTAAAATACGACGTTCAGTAACAGTGAAGCGTGAAAGGACCTGACGAGTAAGATGTTGGTCGACATTGGGAAAATTGATCAAAGACCGTCGATGGGAATGCAACACCAAGAGCCGGTCTTGCCATGACCGTTCCGCGAACCAGACCAAACTCTTCCAGGGGCACATCAAAAAGCTTAGCTTGACAAAGGCTGAGACTTGAATGTATCCTTGGTCATCTATACACCAGCCTATCCTGACCAAGTAAGTCGTAAGTGTGGAGGCAGGACCCTTAGAAGTGTTAGGCCTTGGCATATATTGCGAAACCAACCTAAAGAATCTGTACTTCTGCGAACTGTCTCGAGCCAGCAGAAACCTCCTGGCAGCTGCACAAGCCGAAAGAATCATGTGAAGCTCGGGGTCTTTCACATACTTGGAGGCACACAAAGTGACCAAGGCCGAAGCCATGCTTTCAGAAGGACCAACAAGAGCTTCTGCCACATGATAACGGACGGACCGAGTATGCTGCTGACCAACTGGAAAGAGCTCACTCCCATGAAAGGCAACTGGATACACACTGGCCGAAATAACCTGGGCTTTGACATCAATATCAACATGTGAAGTCTTAAGGCGGGCTAATCTCTCCTTAGCCTTGCGCAATCTATCATGAAGCTTACACATGCGAGCGGCACCTTGATATCTGAGTGGGCGTCCAAGATCACTAGCTGCGTGGACTTTAGCCGCAACAGGGAGTTGGAGGCGATCAAAAGCTTTACGAACTGTGCTGGCAAGGTGGGAATGTGACGTCCACCACCAAGTCTTAGTCCAGTCAATTTGAAGGCCAATAATTTTTGTCCAACGCAGAGTGACATCCAAGAGAGGCTCAATGTCCAGAACATCTTTAACTGCCCAAGCCCAGTTATCGGCATATGCAGAGATTAACGAGTTGGCTGAAGTGCAAGTCCGGCAAGCAGCTGTCCAACATGACCAGGACAGAAAAGACATCCCCTTCAGGAAAACCGCAGCTACTATGTATGACATCCGAGCATTGACCGAGGACTTCCCAGCGTCTCGAGAGACGTGCGAGAGATCCTGACCACTGGGCCAGCACGGAATCAGGCACCCCCAGATGACGAAGGATGGCAGTACCACGAGACCGATTTATTGCGTTAAAGCATTTAACAAGATCTAGAGTAATGCCCGCGCAAGGTTCCCCTGCATCATGAGCTTCCTCGAAGAAACATTGAGTGGCGTATGCAGCCTCGAATGCTCCTCGGCCCGGAAGTAGACCAGTGATGTCACATGTCATGAATTGACCAAAAGAGGTCAAGAGTTGTCGACAAACCACCTGGGCCCAAACTCGATAAATCTGAGACAGGACAGTAATAGGTCGAATCTTTTCCGGCGCAGGTGTACCTGTTGCTTCAGGTCCTTTAGGTGCTGCGAAGACTTTAGCTTCCATGAACCACGAAGGGAAGCCGTCAGGGTAGCAATGTACCACCTCAATCAACAAGGAAATTAAATGATCAGGCAAGGACTGCACCTCAAAGGCAGTGATGCCATCCGGCCCCGGGGCTGGATTACATCTCAGACCACGGATCACCTGTTTCCAGGTCAACAAGTTTGCAGTATCAACACAGAGATCCTGTTGGGGCAACAGGTCCAGAAACTGCTGGAAAGCCGTATCAAAAGCAGGAGAAAGGAGTTGAGAATCATCCCTCTGCCAAATAGGTTCCCCAAAGCAAGTTAAGTGATGGCAAATTTGCTGAGGGTTGGTAACTAGAATGTTCTGCCGCACCTGAATATTCTCGAGATCAGTCAACTCAGTGGCACATGACACGATGATGGAGTGCTCACGAACATCATGCAACCAACCTGTCGCATTATTCAAGCACAGGTTACGACCTTTCTGGAAAGCTGACGGATCCTCAACAAAGGCTTCAAACCGAGGAAGGCTTTTGGCAGTGACCCTGGTGCCAATGGGGACCAAAATTGCTGTTTGCTCAATTTCTTTTTCCACAGATTCAAGCTTGGGAGTCGATCCACGCACAGAGGCGAATGTGAGTCGATTATGACCCTGCTTCTTATCAATCTGGAGACGAAACTTCTGCTTATCTTGAAAGATTTGGCCGTCCAACTGAATTGCACTGGTAACTGCGTGACGCCACAGCTGTTCAAGATCGTTCAACCATGTCATGCTTGGCAAGTTCCAAGGAGCAGGGCCTAACTCCGGTTGGGATTGATTCCAAGCAACAAACGATTGGCCTTGGTATTTGAACCGAAGGATCTTGCGCCATTCCGGAAGAATGATATCATGCAAAGCCTCCTTGCTCAGCTTGCGTTTCAAGGACTGCACACGCCTCAATTGCTTGATCATGCCAGCAGTGACCGCCCGATGGATCTCTTGAGGGGGTTCAAAATCCCCACAGCGAGCTTTCGGAACAAGGGAGGT